GTGCCTCTCCTGGCGTCCGGGGCTGCTGGAGGCCCCGGTAGGAGGACTCTCTGTGCCTCTCCTGGCATCTGGGGGCTGCTGGCCACTCCTGGTGTCCTCAGCTTGCAGCTGCATCACTCCATCCCCCATCCCCAGACTGGCATCTTCTCACCACTGGCTCTGCTCCACCTTCACACACCTCACCCCCATGCCTGTGTCATCTCTTTTCTGTCTCTTGCAAGGATGCCTGTGGTTGGCATTAGGGCCCATCCTGATTCAAGACCTCCAGATCCTCAATTATACCTTCAAAGACTTATTCCCAGTAAGGCCACATTCCAAGGCTCCTGGTGGCCTGTGAGTGTGGGCTTGTCTTTTGGGGACACACTCGGGTGTACTTCGGGGGTTGAGGCATTCCCCTGAGGGTCCCAGGGAGCGACTGTGGCACCTCACCCTGCACTGCCAGTACTTTGCATGGTGCTGCCACATAGAGAGACTTACAAACTTTTCTTGAATTGCAGTTGAGCTGAGAATGTTCCAGAACACAAAGCCCAAAGACTTGGGAGACTTGGGTCTGACCCTACCTCTCCTCTACTCCCCAGGGCAGCTCCTCCCACAGGGCCAGGCCAGGGGCTTGGATTGTGGCTGATGGTGCCACCATCCATGGCAGTTTGTTTCACAGGTGGGGAAACTGAGGCTGGAGGGAAACGGATCTGCTACTTTGTTGTGGTAGACAAAGGAGCCAGGGTGTGCAAGACCAGGCCCTGACCCCAGGCAGCTTTTCTGTCCCTGCTCCCTGGCCACGGGTGACTGGACGTGTATGACCGGGAGAGCAGACTCCAGTCACAGGGCCAAGGACCGGTCCCACACGGAGCCCAGGCCCCAGCCTTGGGACAGGGGGTGGTCCTGGGTGAGCTTGCCTGGCGGGAGGGTGAGGACCCGTCTGGAGTAGACACCCTTCAGTGTTCACTGCCCCTGTGGCTGGGCCCAGAGGGCACGGGAAGCCAGGAGCACCTGTCCCCTGGTGAGTGGGCTGTGGGGGTTCAGCACCCCAAGGAAAGGCGTGTTCTTCCAGAGATCGCCTCTGAGAGCTGACCTGCCACATGAGCAGGCAGGGCAGAGGGACCACAGAGAGGGTTGGGTCACTCAGGCAGGCAGCTTTCTGGGGCGGCTCACAAAGCCTGGGGCTTTGGACTGGCGGAGAGGGCCTTGGGCCAGAGGTGTGGGCACCGCTGCGGGCAGACCCTGTGTGAGGTGGGCTCAGCAGCCCCGCCCAGCTTCCCAGCAGCAGCAGGAGCCCCAGGCTCAGCCAGTGCCCCCAAGCCAGGCTCCTGAGGGCAGAGGGTAGGGGGTCAGGTTTTCTACCCTGTTCGCCTCACAGCCTGTCCTATCCCAGCCCCGGGAAGGAACCAGCCTTTCTGGAGCGGTTTCTGGGCCTGTGGTCGCTGCCCCGGGCATCCAGTGGCCCCGTGCAGGAGGGCGTGAGCACTGGGGCAGGTGCAGGCAGGCTCTGCTCTTTCTGTGCCTGCGTGGAGCGAGGCTGGGGCTTCCATCTGGAGGACGGGACTCTGCTCCCTGTGGGCAGGTGCATGAAAGGGAGGCCGTGCTGCTGAGCCATGCCACTCTGCCCTGTTGGCAGCGGGAAGCAGCAGGAGAGGGTCCTTGGGGCTGAAGTGGGTGGCCGGGGGCTGCCACAGCTCACACTCATTTTCATTTTGAAACCTTCAGCTGACTTTCAACATCATAATTTAAAACGTGGTTGTAGGAAATGCAGGAAGTTCAAGAGAAATCCCGCCCAGCCCTCCCAAGGCGGCCTTGTTCAAGCTCAGCCTCTGCCTGTTCTTGCTGTGCTGCCTGCAGCTGCCCCCACTCCTTGGCAGGTGTGGCTGTGTTTTCAGGAGCCCCAATCAGCACATATGCCTCTGGGCAGCCCCCAGCACAGGGCACTTCCTGCCTCTCCAGGCCCAGCTTTCCCCACCCACCAGGCAGGGCGGTGCTGAGGCCATACCTGGTGCCAGCTTCCCAGAGAGGCCACATTTAGTGCCCATGCGCCAGACCAAACCACTGTCTCCCGTGCCACGGGGCTGCCCCTGCATCCACCCAGGCCACTGCTTGGCACAATCAGACATGCTTTCCTAGTCTGGGCTAGCCTGTGATCTCACAGTTTGACTCTCAGAAGCCCCTGGAGGGAGGGAGGGAGGAAGGGTCACCACTTTGCTTCACAACAGGACTGAGTCTCAGGGAGGGGACTCCAGGAACAGCCATGGAGCCACGATGTGACTGAGACAGGTGCCTCCAGGGCCACACACTAAGCAATACAGGAACCTCTGGGGGCAAAATCATGGTCCCCAAAACATCCATGTCCTAATCCCCGGAACAAATATGTTGCTGTATGTGGCAAAGGAAAGCATCTGCTGCGTCCAGGTGGTGGAGGGGCTGTGGTGGGTCCCCAGGCATCCCCACGCACCCTCAGGTATCCCCGTGAATCCTCAGGTATCCCCACGCACCCTCAGGTGTCCCCGTGAATCCTTAGGCATCCCCACGCACCCTCAGGTGTCCCCGTGAATCCTCAGGCATCCCCACGCACCCTCAGGTGTCCCCGTGAATCCTCAGGCATTCCCACGCACCCTCAGGTGTCCCCGTGAATCCTCAGGCATCCCCATGCAATCCCAGGCGTCCTGCCGATCAGCCCTGTGTCCTCCAGGTGTGCATCGTGCAGAAGCGGGACACGGAGAAGATGTACGCCATGAAGTACATGAACAAGCAGCAGTGCATTGAGCGGGACGAGGTCCGCAATGTCTTCCGGGAGCTGGAGATCCTGCAGGAGATCGAGCACGTCTTCCTGGTCAACCTCTGGTGAGCCTGCCATGGGGCCTGGCCTTGCTGCTGAGACTGGCTGCCCTGAAGCTGGGACGGCACCGGCCGTGCTCTCCTGCCCTCGGTGCTCCCTGGCCCTCGTGCCTCGGGGATGCCCCCACCACCCACAGGCCCTTTCTGCCCCGCCCCATTCATGTCCCTTTCTATGTGCAGGTGTCTGTAGCATGCTGGGGTTAGTTAATGCAGCATCTCTGCTGAGCGTGCCGGAAGCTTGGGGGTTCCCTACAAGGGAGGTGTGCCTCCCCATGGAGTCTCTGGTAGCAGTCAGTGGGGGAGAGTTAGGGACTGACCTGGAGTTCCTTCCAAAAAAATGAACTCCAAGACCAGCTCCAGGAGGTGTTGGAACCTGCTCTGCTGAGAGGTTCACCCCCTTCCTCTCTGTGAGTCCTCCCTGATGCAAGGGTCCTCCCCAACTCAGGAGTGTTCCCCAGTGCAGAGGTCCTCCCCAGCACAGGGTCCTCCCTGGCTGCCTTCCTCCCACACTGGACGCTGTGCTCCAAGATGTGCTCACCGGCGGGAGTTTTTCCCAGAAGCTCCTGTGGAACACAGGGTGTTCCAGCAGCTGGCGGGGGGGGGGGGGGCAGGTGGCATGCAGTGCTGGTCCTGGCTGGCAGTCTCGGAGGGATTGAAACCTTCTGTACCTTCCCTCAGGGCCCGTTAGCTAAACTCAAAGGAAGAGGCAGCAGGAGGACTTCGAGGGGGTGAGAGCGAGCCAGGGCCAGTGCCTTCACTGTGAGAATAGATTTGGGGCCAGCTGCTTCAGGGACTTACTCAGAGCCCAGACCTGCCCCCTAGCTGGCTACTTAGCTGGGGTCACCGCAATAGGAAGAGGGACTTCGCAGTGGACAGTGGCCGCTTTCCAGAGGCTATGTACCGTGCCTAGGCATGGTGTTATGTGGCTGTTCTCCGTAATTGCTGGGGAGGAGTGTTCAAAGCCCGGCCTTCCAGGGCAGCTGGGGAGAGACAGGGAGATGCTGACCAAGGCCTTGGGCATGGGGAGCTGTGGGCTGCCCAACCCCCGAGGAAGGATCCTGAGCGGTGGCCACGGCCCCTCCCCCCGGCTCCTGGCCCCTCAGCTGCACCATCTGTGCATGGCTGCTGTTCTCACTCACTGTGACCTCCTGGGGATCTGGGCTCCTGCAGTCATCTGGTCCCAGGAAGGCAGAGGGCTGGCGTGGCTAGAGGATGTCTTTGTGGCCCGTGGTCTTGTTTTTGGCGTTCTGGGCAGTGGTTCTAAAGCTGAGGGCGTCTGAGCACCAGTGTCCCTGAGACCTGCCCGTGCCGCCCAGTGGCCAAGGAGGGTTGGGCCTGGGTCAGCTCCCTCGTCATTGAACAGTGGTGCTTACTCCTGGGTCAGTGGGGAGGGCAGGAGCTCTCTGTGAGGCAGGCATGGTCTGCAGCCCTGCAGGAACGGGCGGCCATCGTGATTGACACTCAGCCACAACACTGGCACTGAGGGGTCTGTGGAGAAAGAAGACCCAGGACTTCTCTCTCCTGTGGCCCTGGGCTTCCCCTCACCCCAGCCCTCCTGGCCTCTGCTGGGAAGCAGGATTGTCCAGTGGTCAGGAGCGTGAGCTCCTGGGCTGAAGCCCTCCACCCTGCCAGGGGTGACACACCTCACCTCACGGCTCGTCATTTCCTCATCTGGCAGACTCGGGGCTCTGAGCCCCGAGTTAGGATTTATATATGAAGTATATTAACTTTCTTTCCACTCCTGTTGCAGCTGGGGTCCCTGTCCCCTCAGGCCACCTGCCAGGACGTGTCTCCTGCCTTCTGGTGGGGCCATGCGGGGTGGTGCCACCACATTTTTCCCTCCAGGTGTGGGAGTGTCTCCTGCCCTTCTGGCTGTTCTCCAGGGCCCGTGGGCCTGTCCTGAGGCCTGGCATCCTGAGTCCTTTGCCCTGTGGCAGCATTTCCACATCCCTTCCCCAGTCCCTAGCCTGCACCACCCTCTCCAGGCCACCTTTCACTGAGGATGAGGATGGGAGGCTTTTGGAAGACAGGTAGAGGGACATCACATGAAACATGAGTTCTCTGTGCATTATTCTTGAGAGGTCCTGTCATTTAGCCGTTAGAGTTACCTCTGAGAGCTCACAGAAAAAAATTGCGAAGTGGATGGAGGTCCTTAAAGTGGTTTTTTGCTATAGCCATTATCACCTTCTTCATCATCATGTTTATCACCACCAGCAGCATCACCAGTATTATACCATCACCATCACCACCACCATCATCACCATCATCACCACCACCATCACCACCACCATCACCATCACCATCACCACCATCATCACCATCACCATCACCATCATCACTACCACCACCACCATCACCATCACCATCACCACCACCACCACCACCATCACCACCACCACCATCACCACCACCATCACCATCACCACCACCACCACCATCGCCACCACCACCACTACCACCACCATCACCACCACCACCATCATCACCATCACCATCACCATCACCACCATCACCATCATCACCACCACCACCATCACCAACACCATCATCACCACCACCACCATCACCAACACCATCATCACCACCACCACCATCACCACCATCATCGCCACCACCATCATCACCATCATCACCACCACCATCACCACCACCACCACCATCACCATCATCACCACCATCACCACCACCATCACCACCAATACCATCATCACCACCACCACCATCACCACCGCCACCATGATCACAGCCACTCCTATCACCATACGATTACCGGTGCTATTGTCAGCATCACCAGCGTTACTGCCACTGTTGTCACTGTCATCGTCATCACCAGGGGTGCTGTTTAGAAAGTGCCTGACACTGTCAGGAGTTTTACATATACTGCCTCGTTTTCTTTAACAACCCTGCAAGGCAGATGTTTGTGTCCCCATGTTACTGAAGAGGAGCCAGGGCAGCTGGAGCCAGGGCAGCTGGAAGCAACCCAGTGATGGGCACTGTGTTCTACTCTGCATTTGCCACACACAGGTGCCTCTGGCCCCCAACTGGGCTCCAGCACAGGGTGGTCTGTCCTTGCTCGGGGTCTGGGCTCAGAGCAGCACTGGACTTGGGTGGAATCAGTGCCTTGGGCAGGCCTCTGTTCTGGGAATGCCTGGGTGCTGATGCTGGTGTGGGGCTGTGGTCCTTAGGGGGAGATGTGTCAGCTGTGGGAGGACCCATGACTGGCTCCCCAGCTGTGTGCACGCCAGGCCCTTCATCGGTGCCCACAGGTACTCCTTCCAGGATGAGGAGGACATGTTCATGGTCGTGGACCTGCTTCTGGGCGGAGACCTACGCTACCACCTGCAGCAGAATGTGCAGTTCTCCGAGGACACGGTGAGGCTGTACATCTGTGAGATGGCGCTGGCCCTGGACTACCTGCGCGGCCAGCACATCATCCACAGGTGGGTGCGTGGTGGATGGCGGGTGTGGCTGCTGCAGCCTTGGGTCAGGCCGCTGGCGGGGGGTCCACACTCCCACAGAGCCGCCCAGCCCCTCTGCCCCACCCTTGCCTGAGAGCCTGCCCCCAGCTGTGGCACCCCTGCCGACCAGGTCAGTCCCATAGCTGCAAGCTGGGTGTCCGTCTAGGGGGCCTGGTCCAAGCAGCCGCAGCTGAGACTGGACACAGAGGGCCGTTAGCCCTGGTGGACAGACCACGGGCCGGGTCACAGCAGGTGGCGTTCACCTGGTCCGTTTAACTGAAGGCTCCTGCTTGCCTGTCCGCCATGTCCCGGGGAATCCAAACTAATTTTAACATGAGCTTGAAGCAGATGAAATTAGGAAGCAGAGCTGGTGTGATGGCTCTGAAAGTAAAACTTAAAAAAAGAAAATGGGAAGCAGATTATGAAGGAAGTGGAATCGGGAAGCAGGAGTTAGGCTGAAATTTTGCAGCTATGGAATAGATAGGAGATACCTATGGGGTGCATTTTGAAGTGGAATAGGGTGCGGCCTCATTTCTGCTTGTGAGGACTCCGATGTCTGCTCGTGACCCGGGCCCCAGTCACTGAGCGGGGCTGTGTGCCTGGAAATCAGAGTACACTGACAGCTGAGGCAGCTTGGTCCCCAGGAGGCCAGGCTGTGGGGGAAGGGCAGGCCCTGCCAGCAATTCCTCTTGTCCTCTGGGGCTCCAGGCCCCCGCCCAGTGTCTGGTGCCAGGTCTGTGCTGCTGTCCAGATGCCACAGGGAATGAAGTGGCTGGCTAACTCTGCCCCCACCCAGGGGTGTGAGGTCCTAGCATTGTCTAAGGACCAAGTCAGGCTCCCAGGCCCCTGCCTCAAGTGGGTGGATGGAGTGTCCTGGGGACTCCAGGAATTGTGGCGGGGATTCCAGGGCAGAAACTGCAGATTTCCCAACTCGCCTTCCCACTTTCTGCCCTTTCTAGAGATGTCAAGCCTGACAACATTCTCCTGGATGAGAGAGGTGGGTGGGGCCGGCTCTGTGAGGCCCAGGTGGGTGGGGGCCGGGTGTGTAAAGCCCAATCTGGGTGCTGGCAGGGATGGAGCGGTAGGGAAAGGGGGGTCCTGCCCACAAGGACGCATCTCTGGTCCTGGGACAGTCACACCTGCCCCCTGTCTGCACAGGACACGCGCACCTGACCGACTTCAACATCGCCACCATCATCAAGGACGGGGAGCGGGCGACAGCGTTAGCGGGCACCAAGCCGTACATGGGTGAGCCCGAGCTGGGGTTCTTGGTGGGAGCTGGCTTTCTCCAGGTGTGAAGGACAGGCCTCAGCGGCTTCTCCGTCCCATGCTGGAGGCGGCCTGGTCTCAGGGTGTGGCCGCGGGGTGCCAGCTCTGTGCGCACGGGTCTGGGCTGTGACCCTGCGGCAGCTCAGCTGTTCCTTCTTTCTGTCGGAAAGCTCCAGAGATCTTCCACTCTTTTGTCAATGGCGGGACCGGCTACTCCTTCGAGGTGGACTGGTGGTCGGTGGGGGTGATGGCGTACGAGCTGCTGCGAGGATGGGTATGGACCCCCGGCAGTCCCCGGGCTTGGCCGCCGCCACCAGCAGGTGGCCTGAACGCCGGGGAGGAAGGTGGCCGCCCCAGTGCCCCGGCGCTCAGGGATGTCTCTGCTCTGCCTGAGGAGTCACACTTTTAGCCAAGTGCAGTCGGTGGTGGGATGCCTGAGCCGGGGGAGGAAGGACAGACTCAAGGCGGTTTCCTGGGGCATTGTGGGGGCCTGCAGGCTGGCCTCTGTGTGGGTGGACAGGGCTGAGAACTGGCCAGCAAGGGTGCTGCCTTGGAACTTTCTGCAAAAAGTTTCTTGTGGGTCCCTGTGCTCTCACCGTTGGTGGCCACAGCAAGGCCAGTCCTGGAGACCAGGAGGCTGGGGGCCCTCTTGCAGACCACACCTCTCAGCCCTGCGTGGGACCCTACCCCTGAGGAATCCGGCTCTCTCCTGGCCCTCTGGTCTGCCTGGACCTGGGATCCCAGCCAGATGAGCACACCAGCCATGGTGCAGGACCCAGGCGCAAGCTTTACCCCCAGGCTCCCCCACGGCAGGCGGAGGCCAGGCTATGCTCAGAACTGTGCCTGCACTTGGGGTGGGTGGAGGGGGGCCTCTTAGGGCACTGGCACCTGTGCCTGGCATTATTCTGGGTGTCCTGGGAGCCAGGAGGACCTGCCCAGCGCTGCCTCCCTGTTCTCCAGAGGCCCTACGACATCCACTCCAGCAACGCCGTGGAGTCCCTGGTGCAGCTCTTCAGCACCGTGAGTGTCCAGTATGTCCCCACGTGGTCCAAGGAGATGGTGGCCTTGCTGCGGAAGGTGAGCCCCATGCCTGAGCCTCTTCGCCCACTGAGCACCCACCTCCCTCCCACATTCACCTGCAGCTCGGGGCACTCGTCCCCTGGCAGCACAGGTCCCTTCACTGCAACGTGCAGGGGCCTCGCAGATGGCAGCCCCGAGCCCTGGGAAGCGAACCCTGCCAGGTCATGACCTGGTGATCCCTGAGATGTGTCCCCAGGGACCCTTACAGCGGGTCCGTGTGCCTGCTCTGCTGGTCACCACAGAGGAGCCATTGCCAGTCCCCGTGCCCTACCTGTTGGAAGGAGGGAATGGGCTGGGCATGTTCAAGCCCATGCTATCTCTGGAACCCTTTACCCCTGTGCCTCCTGGGGAAGGCGGGCAGCCACTGCCCACTGCAAATGCCTCTCAGGGGACATCAGCCTGGCAGGGACCTGGGCAGGGGTGTGGCCATCAGCGGTGCCTCCCATTTGTGGTTGGGGACTGGGCTGGGGCTGTGCATTGACTGGGGAGCACAGCTCCCCATTCAGAGCCTCACTTTAACACCATGGAGGATTTGGAGTCAGAGCCAGACCCGGGCAGGACAGGGAGGGGAGGGGGCCCGGCTCCCGGCTCCCATCTTCAGGCATGTGGGGCCTCCTGCTCTGGGATTGTAGCGAAGTAGCCTCAAGCCGTGGGGAGGCCTGGCCTGCGGGGGCCTCTCCCCAGCCCAGAGACAACCTCCAACCCCACTCTAGCCCCATGAAGCTCGGCCACACCTGCCCAGGTGGTTCACAAGGTGGCACTGGGCTAGAGAAGGCCTGCGTGGGGACTGGGGATGACCCACCAGCCCAAGCCCGCCAGGGAAAGCCTGCACGGGCTCCGGGTCTGCAGCGTTTGCCCTGGAAAGACAGCAGGTGTCAGCGCTGGGATGCTGCTTCCCTGGCCACGCATGGCTGCCCTGGACTCGGAGTCCTGCAGAGGCCCCCTGTGGTGAAGGAAATGGCTGTGGAGTCGTTACCGTGGGGCCAGCCACGTGCAGAGTGTTTGCCGCTCGCCAGGCCTCGGCTGCCACCTCCTGGCAAATCCTGGCAGAGCCTTCCCTGCGGGCCCTCTGCTGCTCTCCAGCACCAGGGGTTTGGGCAGCACCACTCAGGTCGAGTGCCCCTTGGGCCACATGCTGAGCTGATCACGGCACTGTGCCTGATGTCGGCACCGCCCTTCCTCACGTGGCCCTGAGGTTCCTGAATTCCGAGCCTCAGGCCTGGTGGAACCCTCCCCAGGGTGCCCTGTCCTGGGGTGGTGGGCTGTTCCGTGCTGGTGGGTGATGGGCCCAGGGTCCAGCCAGGCTGCTGCGGGGGCTGCGGGCTGTGGGCCCCGGGCGCCCTGATGCAGGCCTGGTTGCAGCTCCTCACTGTGAACCCTGAGCACCGGTTCTCCAGTCTCCGGGAGGTGCAGGCAGCTCCAGCGCTGGCCGGCGTGCGGTGGGACCACCTGAGTGAGAAGACGGTGGAGCCGGGCTTTGTGCCCAACGTAAGCCTGTGGGCGGCGCGGGTGGGGGCCCTGGGGCTGGACACGGGCGGTACCCACGGGCCGGGCTCAGCACCCATCCCTCTGTAGAAAGGCCGTTTGCACTGCGACCCCACCTTCGAGCTAGAGGAGATGATCCTGGAGTCCAGGCCCCTGCACAAGAAGAAGAAGCGCCTGGCCAAGAACAAGTCCCGGGACAGCAGCAGGGACAGCTCCCAGTCCGTAAGCGCGGGCGGCTGGGGCGCCGTGGGGTGCTGGGTCGGGCTTCTCTCCACCACCACGGGCAAGGCATGTAGGGACCCCTGGCAGGCCACACATCCCGGAAGTCCAGCACACCATTTTCCAGAAGCCACGAGAAGGCCAGAACCTCCCTTCTGCCTTTCCCAGCCCCCACCTCCTCGTGAAGCATGCGTGCAGGGACAACCAGGGGTGGGGTTGTGAGTGTGCAGGGACAGCCACGTGACGCCCTCACGCTCACCCAGATGTGTTGTTGATCGTGTGTGGGGGGATGGCCACGCGAAGCCCTTATACTTGCTCAGGTGCGCTGGCATCAGTTGTGTGCCGGGGACGGCCGCGTGAAACCCTCATGCTCGCCTGGGTGTGCTGGCCTCAGTTGTGTGACTGGGGATGGCCACGTGAAGCCCTCATGCTCGCCTGGGTGTGCTGGCCTCAGTTGTGTGACTGGGGACGGCCACGTGAAGCCCGCACGCTTGCCTGGGTGTGCTGGCCTCAGTTGTGTGACTGGGGACGGCCACGTGAAGCCCTCATGCTTGCCTGGGTGTGGTGGCCTCGGTTGTGTGACTGGGGACGGCCACGTAAAGCCCTCATGTTCACCCAGGCGTGCTGGCCTCGGTTGTGTGTGCGTGGGGACGGCCACGTGAAGCCTTCACACTCACCCGGGTGCACCAGTGTTGGTTGTGTGTGCAGGGACACCATGTAAAGCCCTGATATTTGCCCAGGTGTGCCAGCATCAGTTGTGTGCAGGGACGGCCACGTGAAGCCCTCACGCTCGCCTGGGTGTGCTAGTATTCTGAGGCTGCCAGAACAGGTGACCACGAATCAGGTGGGTGAAGAACAGGAATGCGTCGTGTCTGAGACGGGCCTGAGTGGTAACGACACGGCCTGGTGCACAGCCGGCTCTGCGGTAACTGCTCCGTCTCCTGCCGTTCCCTTGTCCTGACGATCGGCTCTGTCTAGGCAGCGGACAAGGTGAACCTGTTGGGCGGCCATGTTATGATCTCATAGTTTCTGTAAACTGGAAGTCCAGGCATGGGTAGCTCTGTTCTCTGCTCTTGGGTCTCACCAGAGTGTGAGCCAGCATTGACTGAGGTCATGGTCTCATTGAGGATTAGATAGCTGCTGTGGTTGGAACATTTCCCCGAAACCCATGTTGACATTTGGTTCCTTTTGTGGCGGTGTTAGGGGCTTTCGGGGGACGATGGGGCCAGGTGGGTTCTTCCCGCCTGGATGGGGTCAGTGCTGTTGTGAAAGGGTGACCTCAGCCTCCTTTGCGTCTTTGCTCCTCTGCCACATGAGGAGGGAGTGTCCCGGTGTGGATGTGGTTCATGTTCCGTGTGGACACAGTATTCACAGTAGAGCATCAACGGGCTCCCTTTAAATCAGCAGATTGAAAAAGAGATAAAAAGAAACGTGTTGTCTTACAGTTTGGAGGCCCGAGTCCAAAGTGAGGGTGTCAGCAAAGCCGTGCTCCCTGTGAAGACTCCGGGAAAGGAAGCCAGTCCTTGCCCCCAGCCTCTGGCAGAGGCTGCCTTGGCCAAGCCACGTCCCTGCAGCCCTGCTTCTGCCGCCGCATGGGGGCTGCCTGTGGTGTGCCTGCGCCTCCTCCCCACTTCTTACGAGGATACCAAGCACTGGATTTGGGCCACCCTGACCCAGTATGCCCCATCTTATCTTGATGATATCTGCAAGACCTCACTTCCAAATAAGGTCACATTCAACAGGTACCCAGGATCAGGACTTGAATGTGTTGTTTTTGCGCATACCACCAGGATGCGGCTGATACTCACCAAGGAGTAGCCACGGTTATGTGTTGATGCTGGGGTGACAGCGATGCATTGGGTCCCTCGCTGGTCCCTCTGCCCCCGGGCCTGCCCAGGCCTGTGCTGGATGCCCTGGGACTCTCATGCCCCAGCCCTGTGCAGCCGCCTCTGACCTGGCAGGCCCTGTATTGCTCCTGGACGGAAGATGGGTGTCAGTACCCTCCTCACCGTGATATGGGGGGCAGGGGTGGGGTCATCCCCTGGGGCCCTCATTTTAGGGGAACACAGGCCCCCCAGTGGGTCAGGCTCCCATCCTCGCCCCGCCTCCAGGTCCGTAGCCGGCAACCCCAGGCGTCCTCAGGTGGAAGTGCAGGTGGGGAGCTGTCGCCTGCCAGGTGCTGCTGGGTGAGGTGCTGCTGAGAGCCACAGGATGGTGGGGAGGTTCTTGGGGGATTCTTTGGCATTCCCACCGTTGGGTATTTAAGTTTCCCTACCAGAGCATGTCTGGAGCCAGGGCTCGGGGCTGTAGAAACAGGCCCAGGAGGAGGTCGGAGCCATGTGCAGAGGCCGGCTGGCCATGTTGTGCTCCCGGGAGGCTCTGGGTAGGAATGGGTGAGGCCAGGCACCTGTGAACTGGAGGAGCTTGGCTTTGTCTGGGTTGGTTGTGGGGAGATGTTCTCGCTGGAGGGTGGGAGGTGTTCCGAAAGGCACCCATCACTCCAAAGACATGTCCCACTTTTAACCCCGAGACTGAGAGAGGTTTTTTGAAACAGCGTTATTTTGATATAATTCACATTCCATACAATATACAAGACAGCCACGTAAAGCATATATTTGTGTGGTTTTTAATATAGTCACAGGGCTGTGCATCCTCCACTGCCATCCGAATTGAGAATCTGTTCATCTGCTGTAAGAGAAAGACCCACCGATGAGCAGTCACGGCCCTTTCCCCTCTCCTCTCTGCCCCTGGCAGCCACAAAGTTGCTCTGCGTCTCTTGAGGTTTGTCTGTTGTGGACGTTGTGTGTAAGTGCAGTCACACACGACGTGGTCATTTGTGGCTGGCTTCCTCACTGTGCAGGGTGTGTCTGAGGCTCATCCGTGCTGTGGCCGGTCAGCGCTTCATTCCTCTTGATGGCTGAGTAATATTCCACATGTACATCACCTTGCATTTATCCCATCATCAGTTGATGAGTATTTGTTTTTTCCACTTGTTAATATTTTTCATTATAATCAATAATGCTGCTGTGAACATTCACGTACAAGTCTTTGTGTGGATATGTACTTTCATTTTTGGGGGCAGACACCTAGGTGTGAACCCTCTGGGTCACATGTGACTCTGGGCGTCATGTATGGAGGAAACGCCTGCCCTTTTCTGCACCAGCTGTGCCATTTTGTGCCCCTGCCAGCAGTGTGTGAGTTCTGATTTCTCCATATACTCGCCAAGTCTTTTTATTGTCTCGTTTGTTTTTTAAATTATAGGCATCTTAGGCTGGGCGCAGTGGCTCAAGCCTATAATCCCAGCACTTTTGGAGGCCAAGGCAGGTGAATCGTGAGGTCAAGATTCATAGTGAGTCCTGTCTCTACTAAAAATACAAAAATTAGCTGGGCATGGTAGTGGGCACCTGTATTCCCAGCGACTTGGGAGGCTGAGGCAGGAGAATTGCTTGAACCCGGGAGCTGGAGGTTGCAGTGAGCCGAGGTCACGCCACTGCACTCTAGGCTGGCGACAGAATGAGACTCCATCTAAAAACTAAAAGTTATTGGCATCTCAGTGTACAGTGATTTTGTGATTATGATTTGCCTTTTCTAATGATATTGAACATCTTTTGAGGCGTTTTATCGGGAATTGTGTGTGTCTAGGGAAATGTCTATCCGCATTTAAAAAAATCTTTTGTCTTATTTTAGTCTACTCTTGACAATATATTTTAATTGGCATGTCTTATTTTACTTCCTTTTTTTCTTGCTTGCTTTATTACCACAACCGGAATGCAGCGGTACGATGATGGCTCACTTCAGCCCTGACTTCTTGGGCTCAAGTGACCCTTCCTGCCTCAGCTGCCACAATAACTGGAACTGTAGGCGTGTACCACCACAGCGGGCTCATTTTGTAGAGACAAGGGCTCACTGTGTTGCCCAGGCTGGTCTCAAACTCCTGGAGTCCTCCCTCCTCAGCCTCCCAAAATGCTGGGATTACAGATGCCTGACCTAATTGGTGTATTTTAGACCATTCACATTTAAAGTGACCGTGGAGGCCGAGGCAGGAGGCTGCCTAAATCCAGGAGTTAGAGACCAGCCCAGGCAACAAGGTGAGAACCCATGTGTATTAGTCCATTTTCATGCTGCTAATAAAGGCATACCTGAGACTGGGTAACGTATACAGTAAAAAGGTTGAGCGGACTTACAGTTCCACATGGCTGGGGAGGCCTCACAATCATGGTGGAAGGCAAGGAGGAGCAAGCCATGTCTTACAAGGATGGCAGCAGGCAGAGAGAGAGCTTGTGCAGGGCAACTTTCATTTTTAAACCCATCATATCTCATGAGACTCATTCACTATCATGAGAACAGCGCAGGAAAGACACGCCCCCATAATTCAATCACCTCCCACCAGGTTCCTCCCACAACACGTGGGAACTGTGGGAGTCACAATTCAAGCTGAAATCTGGGTGGGGACACAGCCAAACCATGTCACCAACTCTATAAAACACATGAAAAATTATCCAGGTGTCATGGTGCATGCCTGTAGTCCCAGAGACTTGGGAGGCTGAGGTGAGAGCATTGCTTGAGCCCAGGAGTTTGACACCAGGCTGGGCAACACGGCAAGACCCTGTCTCTATAAAAAATTTGAAAATGAGCCGGGTGTGGTGGGACACATCTGTGATACCAGCCACACAGGAGGCTGCGGTGGTAGGATTGATCACGTGAGCCCAGGAGTTCAAAGCTGCTGTGAGCTATGATCGTGCCCTTGCCCTCCAGCCTGGGCAAGAGAGAGACGTGCTGTCTCATAAATAAGTCGTCACTGATACGGTTCAACATGACACCTACCATGTTTGTAACTGTCGTCTATTGGTTGGATTTGTTGCTTTCCCTTCTCCCTATTTTTCTGCCTTTTCTGGTTTTAATTAAGGATTTTATATGACTCTAGTTTATCTCCTCTCCTAGCATATTAATTGTACTTCTTTTTGAAATATTTTTAGTGGTTGGCCTGGACATTGCAGTATACT